CACTTAGAGAAGTGTCATGCCATCAGGAAGGGCAGGAATTTGTGACCCTCACTCAGCTGATGATTTATTATCAAACAGCACTATGAATAGCCCCTCTTGAAATGTCCAGTGTATATCTTGGTAAGTAAATTGTCTACTTTCATTTCTTTACCAAGTATAATCTTGAGATCGTCTGCAAGTCCTGGTTTGGAAGCTGTAGTTACACAATGGGCAGCTCGGAATAGGAGCATCTGAAGGTAGCAGGGACTGGAAAACAACACAAGACTTTGGCCCTGGGCAGTGATGAATCCTTGGTAAAGAGGAAGGGAGTTCTGTGAGTGCCTCCCTGGTGTCTCAGATCATGTTTGAAAACCAGAGGGTAATATCTAGTGGTTTATCCTAAAGCTTACTGGTCAATGCCGAGGCTATAATTGCCAGTGTGCTGTCTGAGATTCAACACCTGTTTGCCTGTCACAACTACAAGCATTACAGATTTAGCAAGGCTGATAAGGGTGCCCAGAGGTAGATACAGAGGAGTAAAGACATTTAGGTAAGGAAAGTGGGTTGAAGCACAAACCACATTTCACAGTCAACAACACGGCCAGGATGATACGGCCAGGATGATTATTTTTTATTGGAAAAGCAGATATACAGAGAGGAGAGTGAGAGAGAGGAAGATCCTCCGTCTGATGATTCACTCCCCAAGTGAGTGCAACGGCCGATGCTATGCTGATCCGAAGCCAGGAGCCTCTTCTGGGTCTCCCACACGGGTGCAGGGTCCCAAAGCTTTGGGCCCTCCTCGACTGCTTTCCCGGGCCACAGGCAGGGAGCTGGATGGGAAGCGGGCCGCCGGGATTAGAACCGGCGCCCATATGGGATCCCGGGCGTGCAAGGCGAGGACCTTAACCACTGCGCCACCGCGCCAGGCCCAGGATGATGATTATTATTATTATTATTTTTTAATTCAGATGTACCTGACTACTGGGCCTGAGATCAGATTGGTCAGTTTGTAGTTGAGATAAACATCATGATTATTTGCTATAGCAACTGTCCAGTACCTTTGAGGAATTGGAGGAAGGTAGGCAGCAAAAAACGAGCAGAAGAGGGTAGTTAAGCACGGGTTTCTTCAAGGAATATACAGGGGTTCGTTTAACAATGATTTCTTCAAGGAAATGATGATGAATGGCAAGCAGGATCTGGACATCCAAGTTTGTAGGAGAAAGGTTAGTAAAACTGCTCCAGGTGAGGATCGAACTCACAACCTCGGCATTGCTCACAGCCATACTGTCTTATAAGTACCGCGCGCTAACCGATTGCGCCACTGGAGCCACAGGAAGTGGAAGTTGGAGGTCGTGTAAATCAATACTTTGCAATTAACAGTAACTTTTATCATAATCCCTCTGACCTACACCTTCCGATGAAAAGCCACAATGAAAGGAACCCCGGATCTTCCTCCCACAACTCAGACGGACGCCAGGGCCTGACGGCTGCAGTGGCGTCTTGCTTTTCCTCTCCTGTTTTTCCCACGCTCTCTTGGACATCGTTTCGTTGAAACGGAGGCATATTGACTGCACAGCTGCAGAGAACCGAGATGGCTGCGCACCAGATTCAGACTGATTTGGAGCGAGTCTTCCGCCTGCACGGAACCGCTGGCGGCTCCCAAGGCTTTGCATTCCCTCGGAGCCCCACCGACCCTTCTGCTCTAAATCCACCTTCCCACCCAGTCACTGGCTAGTTTGGGGGTGTGGGGAGGTTACCATGCTATCATGAAAAATTCGCAGAAGTTGTATTTTCTTCCGTTTTAAACGTGTACCTGGAACCAAGCTATGCAAAAGTAGTAACACAATGAAGTAGTTATTTTGCTACAGACTCTGTTCACTTCTATTTTAGGGCATTTTTTTTCCCTTATAATGTTTACAAAAAAGATGAAAGGTCATGAACAGGTTTGTATTACGGTTACTCAACAATGTGATCAAAATGACCCTTTCACCTACGTGTTCTTCTTTATTTTTGCAAGTCAGATGAAATAAAAAATGTTCCCCAATGAACTTGACAGGGCAGAGTTGTCTGTGCAGTCATCAAATCAGTAGGATGTGCTAACCCTGCACAAGGAGGGAAGGAACATATCTAAAAACTTCAAGAGGCCTGAGCAATCTGGGGATTCGGGTATTCTAAAGCATCAGATCCAAAGTCTCCAGCCAGTGGGACAAGGTCCTATTTCTTACCAATCAAGGCAAGAAGCTGGCACAGAATACATTCCATGTGGGGAATTTAACTGTCTTTGGAGCTCCACTCTTTTGATGATCAAGCGAGATCTTAGTTTTTCTGTCCTGGAGTTACAGGACAGGAAGGCTTCTTTCTCTAAAGCACCAGGTCCCTCCAGGAGGGAGCATCCAAGTCTGTTATCTATGATTGTCACCCCCAAGGATGTTTCTCAAACTTACAATGTATCATATGTGCTAGTGGGCATCTTTCCATTCATGTGCCACGCTGGTTTGGGTTTGATGTAAGTTTCAACCATCCCTGCAACTTTGTTCCAATGGCTGCTTGTGCTGTATCCATCATCTGATTTTTATCAGTTTCAAAAATGTCAGCCTAGCATCATCTTTTTCAGATCATTGTTTGGTACCCAAAATTGCAGATTGAATTCCCTGGCATTCAAACTCCAACTTGGAGATTTGCATTAGGAGTTTATTGTAACATCATCTGAGAATTAATACTTAGATGGAAGGAGGACAGGAGAAAAGCAAGATTTGCCAGAGGGAAAAACTGGGCTGCAGTGCAAGATCCCAGACACTCCAGCCTACCCTTTGGGAGAGCTCACTGCAGCTACCTAGGAAGGTCCTAACCTGAATAGTGAGGCCTTGACCCTGCCGCCCCCGCTGGATTTCATGTAGGCTGCCCCAGAAAAGGGACAAGCTTGGCCTGAGGTTATTTCCCAAAGAGAACTGACAACCAGGGGCCTTCCAGTGACAACCTCCTAAATATATTTGGGGAAATAAGCTCTTTTGTCTCTAAGGGGGAGGATGGAGTAAGAAGGAGGAGGAAGATAGAAGAATGCAAGAACAAGACATAGCTCTTAGATGCTGCAGAACATCTTTGATTGGAGACAGTAACAGGGCTGGTGGTAAGTCTGAGAAATCTAGGGTTGAGATGGGGAAATTCTACCCTATGAATGATCAAGAACCTTCCTGCCATGTTCCTTAACTGAACTGTACCAAAAGTCAGACAGTAAGAACTGACTTGATGGCTCAAAAGAGGAGGAAATTGCCAGTACATTTCATCCAACGGCACCCACAGTGGTAGAAAGCAGAAAATGTAACTATAGCCCCATCACTATTTCTATATTTTTGATGTGGAAAGAAGAAAAGGAGTTAGCAGAATGTACGGGGGGCGGGGGTGGACTCTCTTAGGGCTATGACAGTGGGCGGGGCCATCCTAGTGGAAGGATGGTGAGTGTGAATGACTCGATCCAAAGGAGGTCTGAGAAAGTCAGTTCTTTTATTCTTTACCCAGATATCTTGCTGGGAGCAAAAGCAGCAACCTTCTGAACAGAGATACTTGCTGGAGAGCGGAAACTTCCGCAAGAAAGAGATTCCTCACTCAAGTGAAGGCCATTTAGGGAAACAATGTGACGAGAAGTGGATTTTTTTTTTTTAACCCATAAAGGGGGTTAGGGTCTTCCAGTGCTCAGCTGCCTCCAGCTCCACCGTCCCCTGTAGGCTTGGATTGCTTGCTCTGGTACGCCAGGATGTCTGACTTGACCGTGCTGACTTCAGCCAGGTGGAACCAGCGCATAACAGGGACTCCGTCAGGCCCCACCAGGAACTTTTCAAAGTTCCATCTGATGTCGTGGACTTTTATGGGTTCCCAGGAGATATGTTTTAATAAGCCTAGTGTCCCAGAAGGATGAGGACAGGAGTGCTGAAACAGGGAGATGGCAAAGGCAAGCGACAGCGTCATGGGTGATCGGATGTTTTCATTCACTAGTCATCTAGTTCCTCCCTCCGTCACGTACACACTGTAATCTGCTATTCCAGGGAACCCCTTCAACCATCATGCCGACTACCGAGACTGCCACAGATTTCATAGCAAAAGTCTGTTCATCACAAAATCGCGAACACCACGACCAAGCTATGTCACCTCAGTATTTTAATTTTCCTTTCTACAAGGTAAATGACAGATTAGAATGTGATTTCCTAAGTTCTAGGGCTCCATGGGCCAGTTAATTTGGTTAAACATATTTTGGATACAAGATTGACCTACTAAAATTTTCTATCAAATCAGAAAAACTTAAAACAGCATAATTTGATCAATTTAAAAATAGCCTTATAGGAATAAATTACATGTGGATCATAAACTTAGAATAAAGCCTATGCTTTAAGCTGTAAGTCAGAAAAGTTTTGTTTATAATACCTTCCTTATACTGACCTATGCTCTTCAGCTCACTGGAGACATACACAGGCTAATTCCAATAAAACGTGCAGCAGTTAAGAATAATTGCCTCTAGTGATCCCTTAGGTCCTTTTAGTTCTAGCATTCTCTATAGCTAAAAGTTAGTGCTTAATAAAAGGTACAGTATTGCATTATATCTATTTATTTCTATGTTTCTATTGTCCATATAAACTCATTAAGGGTGGCAGCAGGACCTTATTCAGTGAATATTCTTATTTAGCCTGCCTTATAGATACCAGGTTCTTGGTAGGTACTTAATAATGGTACCTTGAGTGAATGAATGCCCATGACAAAGAGAGGGTGGTTATAATAAAGCCGCCACTCACCAGAACTATCTTCACTATTCAGAGTCCAATCTCAGTAGTTATTAAGAAATGAAGATCACTTTCCTGTGGCAATCTAGCAATTTCCTCCAAAAAGATCAAGTTCACTTCTAGGCACCAGATGTAGTGTTCTTTTCCACCAAACAAACTCTAGACTTGGAATATTAGGCAAAAGGAAGAGCCTTGGGAACAGTCACTCACTCACCTTCAGGAAGGTGAAGATGCTCTGTTCATTTCTCCCATTCACATCCCCTTTCTCAAATAGCTGGAAATTTGGAACAAATCCTCTGCCTGGACGGACGTACCTGCAATGAGTCATAGTGTGCCCAGGAAGTGCCAGGATGTGAGCAAGTTATTTTGGGACATCAAGTTTTGAAAGATCAGGACAGGCCAGGGACTGAGAGAAAGTGACTGGGAAGAGAAAGAAAACTTTTCCCCCGAAACTTTGGGCTTTCGTTTCCATTGTTCTTCTGTTCTCTTCAGTTTGTCATCATTTCCTCACTCCTGTCCTCCACAGTCCATCTGGTCACATCCGGGGATGGAGATGGAGTTCTGGACATTGTCAGATTCTCAACAAGGTGTTAAAATCAATTTTCAGATGTCCCTGAATCTAGCAGTCTGCTATCCTTCCACCCCACTCCAACAATTCCTGACATGGAGGGACCTGGGGACACCAACTATGGTAAAATCTCCTAGTGGATTTCTTACTTACTTGAGCGCAGGAAGAATCTCTGAGTTCTGTCCTGGTTCTTGCTTTCCAAACTGGTTGCATGGAAAGCCCAATACAACTAGGCCGAAAGGTTTCAGTTCATCCTGAAGTGCATTCAGTTCTACGGTTAGAGAAGGGCCGACAGGTGGCTTACCTAGAGAGCCTGCCTTGTGTAGACAGATTTCAGGTTACTGGCTTTACAAAGCAAGAAGCATCTCTTGATCAGAGGGACTGCTGATGACACAGTGAAGCTAGACTCAGCCTTCAGATACACACTCAGAACTCTATATTCCAAGATGGTGCAGGCCAAACCTGTACCACATCTGAATCCCCCAGAGACCTCCTTAAAAAAAAAAAAAAAAAAAAAAAAAAGGTGGTCCAGGTTCCATCTCACAGAAGTTTTTTAATTTCTCCATGGTGGGGTCCAGTCATCTTTCTTAGCCAAAATTCTGGGGCCCGGCGCGGTGGCGCAAGTGGTTAAAGGTCCTCGCCTTGCACGCCCGGGATCCCATATGGGCGCCGGTTCTAATCCCGGCAGCCCCGCTTCCCTTCCAGCTCCCTGCCTGTGGCCCGGGAAGGCAGTCGAGGACGGCCCAAAGCTTTGGGACCCTGCACCCGCGTGGAAGACCCGGAAGAGGATCCTGGCTTCGGATCAGCATAGCATTGGCCGTTGCACTCACTTGGGGAGTGAATCATCGGACGGAAGATCTTCCTCTCTGTCTCTCCTCTCTGTATATCCGCCTTTCCAATAGAAAAAAAAAAAAAATAAATCTTTAAAAAAAATATTCTGATGATTTTTTTTTAACAACAAAGGTTAGAACAGTGCTGCTTTTCAGCTTGTTCATTGGAGATGAGTCTTTCAAAGGGACCCCAAGAACTGAACTTCTCTGCACTGGCTGGTTCACCCAGAGTAGCGTTGAAGTAAACCTGACAGCGGTGAAGAGAACCAGAGAAATGTCGAATGGAGCCGCCTGATGTCGTTCAGCAATCCTGGGGATGCATTCTGCCTGAACTATTCCACATGTTCTGCCGCAACAGCGGCTTCTGTTTTCTTCCTCCGCAGCCAGGGTGTTTGCTAACGTGACTGTTCAGACCTTCGTCTTCATGTTTTAGCTCATCCTTTCTGGGATAGATGCCCTGCGCCACATCCTAGCCTGTGCCAGTCAGACTCCGCTCAGCCGCTTGGTATCTCCTCCTCTTCTTTACAAAATGCAAGATTCTTGGCTGTTGCCGCATGATGCTTCAGAACCTCTTCCCAAGGTTTCCCCTCTTGTTTATCATAATTGCAAATAAACACAAGAAATGGGGAAGCCAGTCTTGGAGCCCTTGAGCAACCACTTCAGTTTTTTTTTCATCTGTCATGTACAGAATAGAAACTGGATAACTTGATTCTTAAGATTGTACTAATTAATACAATGGATTATGATTCAGTAAATATTATTCTGCCTTTAAAAGTAAAATGAGGGTCTGGCGTGGTAGCCTAACACCTAAAGTCCTTACCTTGCATGCACTGGGATCCCACATGGCAGCCCTGTTTCCCATCCAGGTCCCTGCTTGTGGTCTTGGAGGACAGTTAAAGATGGCCCAAAGCCTTGGGACCCTGCACCCATGTGGGAAACCCGAAAAGAAGTTCCTGGCTCCTGGCTTTGGATTGGCACAGCTCTGGCTATTGAAGCCACTTGGAGAGTGAATCAACATATGGAACTTTTTTTTTTTTAAGTCAAATGAACATGAAAGTATTTTATTCCTTTTAAAGACACAAAGTGGTGGGCCTAGTGCCGTAGCCTAGCGGCTAAAGTCCTTGCCCTAAACGCGCCAGGATCCCAGATGGGCGCCAGTTCTAACCCCGGCAGCTCCACTTCCCATCCAGCTCCCTGCTTGTGGCCTGGGAAAGCAGTCAAGGATGGTCCAAAGCTTTGAGACCCTGCACCCACGTGGGAGACCCAGAAGAGCTCCTGGCTTCAGATTGGCGCAGCACTGGCCAAATCATCGGATGGAAGATCTTCCTCTTTGTCTCTCCTCTTCTCTGTATATCTGACTTTGTAATAAAAATGAAAAAATCTTTGAAAAAAAAAAGGCACAAAGCAGAAAATAAGTTTCATACCAGGTGATTAACTGAGGAAAGGACAAGCAGCAGAACATGGAAACCACCCACAAATTTTATAAACATGATAGCGTGGGTCATCTGAAGGAAGAGGAAATAAGTAAAAATAATTTTTCCTTCCGACACTTATTTATCTTGAGGGCTTTTTTTTTTTTTTAAGATTTATTTTGTTTCTATTGGAAAGGCAGATTTATAGAGAAGAGAAACAGAAAAAGATCTTCCATCCATTGGTTCACTCCCAGGTTCCAAGGCCTGGGCCGTTCTCGCCTGCTTTCTCAGGCCACAAGCAGGAACTGGATGGAAGTGGAGCATCAGGGACATGAATTGGTGCCCATACAGGATGTCAGTGCATGCAAGGCGAGGATTTAACTTATTTTAGATTTTGAGCCTTATTCATAGCATTGTTTTTAAAACTAAAAGAGGGCATTAAAAAAAAAAGATTTACTTCTTTTTGTTGGAAAGACAGATACACAGAGATAAAGATCCTCCATCCTCTGGCTTACTCTGCAAGTGGCCACAATGGTTGGAGCTGAGCCAATCTGAAGCCAGGATCCTCCTCCAGGTCTCCCAAGCGGGTGCAGTCTCCCAAGCTCTGGGGCCGTCCTCCACTGCTTTGCCAGATCACAAGCAGCAATTTTGTGGATCAAGTGGAGCAGCCAGGATACGAACCAGCTCCCACATGGAATCCCAGACAAGCAAGATGAGGACAAGTCCATCACTCTAGGCCTCATTTTTAATTAGTTCAAATACATGAAGTACATTTGTCTTTTACACAACCCATCTTATTTGCTATTAATTGGCTTTTAAACAAATGGTCTAAATTTTGGAGAAATGAAATTTCTACTTGAACATCTGTAGGAGAAAACAACAGCTGTTAAAGAGCTGGACTTGAAGGGGAAGTATTGCCCCGTGGCCTCCATGACCTGCCCTTTCTACAGACAAATGCCGTCCCAGATGCGAGGTATCTTTTCTTCTTTGTTTATTAGTGTATATTATTCTAGCAAACTCTCAGATACATGGGTTCTGTCTTCTGTAGTTGCCAAGGAAACTTTTGGAATCTTCTGACAAGATTCTAATTCTTGGATGGTGGAACCTCAGAAAATGGAGTGGCAAGAATTTGAGATCAGCAATTTTGTCCCCACTAAATGGCCAGAAAATCAGTATTTCAGGGTTTGTGCGTCACCTGGTCTCCATCACTACTATTCACACAATGACTGGAATTTGCCTTGTAGTGTAACAGTAGCTGTTGATATATGTAATCTAATGGACCTGGCTTTCATAAAACTATATTCATAAAATTAGGCTGGCTGGATTTGCCAACTTCTGGCATGGTAAGGGGTGATTGGGAAGAGAATCAAAGACTGGGGTGAAGTCAATTGATTGTATTTATTTGGCTACCTGATTTGGAATAGAATCAACTGGTAATTTTTGTCCCGAAGACACAAGGCTTTGGAATCTTACCAGGATACTGGTCTGTCAGAGCGCAGTAGGTGGCCACGTTGATGAAGAGGACATACTTTCCTGCATACTGTCTGAACCGAATCTTTTCCTTTCCATCCAGAGTGAAGGCCTCGTAATCAAAGATGGTGCCTTCCACACCTTTGTCACAATCCATCTGGAAGATTTGTTTTTAATAATAATTATATTAGTAACAACTATAACATTTTGGTATTCTTTTAAAACATTCAGAGAATAATGTGAAGTGACGTCAAAAATTTCATCAAGAAATGGAGTTAAAAGGTAAGCTTATTTTGTTTTTTTGACATTTACTTATTTGAGAAACAGAATGATGGGAGTGGAACAGAGACACTTCTCTCTGCTGGCAACAGCCGTGGGTGGTCCAGCCAAATCCAGAAGCCTAGAGTTTTGAGTTTCGTTAGTGTCTCCCATGTGAGTGTCAGAAGCCTAAATACTTGGAGCATTCTCTACTGCTTTCCAAGGCACATTGGCAGGGAGTTGAATTTGGAAGAAGGGCAACCTAGAACCAGTTCCCCAAAATGGGATCCTGCCATTGCGGGCAGTAACTTAATCCACGGTGCCCTGGTGTGGATCCCAAGATCAGCTTGGTTTGATTCAAAAAAAAAACATTCAAAATCCAAACACAACTTTTTCCGAACAAATACTTTTAATATACCTTTTGAAGACCTTTGATATGGATGGATTTTTGAAATATTTTGTACCCAAACAAACATTATTTAATTCTGCTTCCAAAACTTTTTAAAGTAACCTGTTTTAACTGACACACACACAAACCAGACGAGAGTTATCTAGATATCAATCAATGACTAGACTAAAGATTGGGTCTTGTGAGTTAAAAATATAATTTTTTTTTAATAACAAGCAAATAAATAACAAAAAGTTGCTCTTTTTATTACAGGGATGTAGGCTTTGGTTCACCATCTATTTTTTTTTTTTTTTTTTTCATTCTCTGTAATTCTCTCTCTCTCTCTCTTTTTTTTTTTTTTAATTAATTACATTGTATTATGTGACACAGTTTCACAGGCTCTGGGATTCCCCCAACCCCTCCCCATACTTTCCCCCCATGGTGGATTCTTCCACCTTGTTGCAGTATTACAGATCAAGTTCAGTTGAGATTCTTTCATTGCAAGCATGTACCAAGCAAAGAGTCCAGCATCTAATTGTCCAGGTACATTCAACGGTTTCTTGGGGAGACTCTCTGGTCTGAAGGTAGAGCTGGCAGAATATCACACCATCTATCCTTTAACAGTTGGTTTAAAATGAAAAAGAACCCATGGTTGTCAGAGCACCCACTTGTCTAGGTAGGATTGAAGGAGCATTGTGGAAACCTTCCCTTGCCTTTTTCTTTTTCTTTTCTTTCTTGTGTGTGTGAACTGGAATTTAAATAGGGCTCTTAGTGCTAAGCTTTCATGATTTTTTTTTTTAGCTGCTTGCTTTAGACTTTCTGGAGTGATGTTGGTGTTGAAAATAAGTTATCAAAATATCAAATGCAATGCAAAAAAGGAAGGAAGGAAGGAAGGAAGGAAGGAAGGAAGGAAGGAAGGAAGGAAAGAAAGTGAAGTTTTACATCCAAACCTTTCAGTTAGATAAAGCAGAGAGGGACTGGCTAGAGAAAAGAAAGAAAGTCATTTTCTGATAAGGAAGATCCAAATTGAAGCTAAGATTAAACTACACATTTTGGAAGTGTAGTGGATTAGAAGGGATTTTGGTCAAATGCCGTCTGCCCCTGCTTAGCAAAGGAGGAATGTAAAACAACAAAACAACCCTGCCAACTACTGATACTGTCAGTAGCACCTACATTATAGCTACTCAGGCTTTCTAATCTCAGGAAGAAAGCAAATATGGATATTCTTCATGATTTGGATGTGTTGTCTGTCCTACTCCGCTCCATCAAATGTTTATGTACTGGGATGTCTTGGGAGGTGCTGTGGAGCTTTTAAAGGGTGGGACTTAAGTGAGAGAGTCTTCCATCAACTGAGGCTACATGGTCAGTGTTTAAGATATTTCTAAAGAACTCTGTTAGTTTCCATGAGCAGATTGTTGTAAAGGTGTGAGCCTCAGCTGGGAGGCGTTTTCTGGTTTCTTGTGTCAACCTGTGGTTTCTTCCTCCCACAAGGGCCCTGCATGAGACTTTGTGTCATGCTATTTGGAATTTTAGCTCCTAACAGTTACTGTAGTCTGATTCATATGTTTGATTATAGCAAGTAATGGTTGACTTACTACAAAGCTCTTGCAGCTTTTTCTAATGTGTTATGCTCACATATGCACAAGCAAAACTGGCCTATAGAAAGGGAACATTATATGACTGTGTCCAATCTTATCTCTATGATGCCTGGTTGTAAAACAAACATGTTTAAGTATTTGAATTTTGTTTTTGTAACTGCAACAAAAATTACATAGAGCATATAGGGGCTTAGTTCTAATACTGAGTGCTGTTGTAAATTTACTTGAACCTGTGTGAAATGTCTTGACCACTTTTATTCAGCTTTTATTAAGCAAATTCTACAGTTGGAGCATCCCCATGAAATTAGGCAGCACTAGGTAACATAAAACTCGTAGCATTTCTAGAAGTTTTCTGGAAGTTGTCTAATTAATTTCAGAGCTGGGGACTGGTGGGAGTTGGGAGAATGAGAGAGAGGGGAAATGGAGGGGGAATGGAGAGGAAAGGGATTTACCAGTGCTGTTTTGTAGAACACCTTATAATAAGCATCATGACAGTGTGCTCACCTACGCTTCGGGCAGATACCGTTCTCCACACAGTTATAATGAGAAATCAGAGACTAACCAAGGTGAAATGATTTTCCAAGACCAAAAGTGGCAACCTACTACGTGCATGAAAGCTGACTGCCCCCAACTTCATAATTCAGAATGTCTCTTTCATTGCCCTCATTTTTCCTGTGCACTATGTACCTGTTTTGTTTTGTTTTGTTTTGTTTCAGTAAGAGAATGAGACAGGAATTGGGAGTAGAACTAAGGCCAGAATTCGAGACACCTGACTTCAAACTCATTTGCTCTAGGCCTTTGGTTACTTTTTTCATGTGTGCTGTGTTTCTCTGACAGATCTCCGACCTCATCCAGAGAACTTGCACATGGTTTTTCTCCTCTCCCCGAGTGTTTTGCCAAGTGATAACTGAATTGGCTCATCCTCCCCACGCACAGGGATTCCTGTCTACACTGATCCTGACTGTTTCACACTTCAAATCCAGTTGTGATGCAAATACTGCTGTGAATGGAGCGACAGGCAGGGCCCCCACACGGAGAATGTGGATCAAAAGGAGCAGAAGCCATTTTTCCTTTAGCCATATTCAACTCAAGGAGCATCATTTACAAGAGTGAAGAAGATTCAAGAGAAAGCAAATAAAAGTTTAGGGGAACTATAAAGAGGGGGGAAAAACCAGTGAGAGTCTTGTAAGAAGGTCTGGAGGGAAGGACTTAGAAGGATGACAGAAGCCCTCTCCAGGGCTTACTCACCTTCATCGTCTCTGGCTTGGGGTTTGTCTGCACGAAGCCAACCAGGAGAAGAGAGACAAGACAAAAGGCTTGTAATTGTGCAGCCATGATTAGCACTTGTAGAACAATATTGTGCGAGGTCCTTGCACACCTCTGCAGACTTTTGATACTTGACCAGAAACTAACCTAAGCCCACACAGACCAATTGCAGAGTGGCAAACTCCCATCATCCAAGTGGGGCATGAGAATAATAGAATTTGAACCACATCCTCACTTAACTACACCCCCAGGAACACTCTGGGCTCACTAGAGCAGTGAGGACCTGGGATGCACATCCGTTCTGACAGAACTGTGAAAAATGACAGCAGCAAACCTCCTTTAGTTCTTACAGATGTTTGTCTTACCTGAGTGGACTGGAGTGTCTAGGTGCTGACTCAGGCTCCCAGACACTGAAGTCACAGCACAAGAGTAGGCACAGATTCATCCTAACATTATTTTTGAGATTAAAAAAAATTATAAGAGGATTGACCAACAAGCATGTGACCTAAAGTTGGTAAAAATTTATCTGAGTTGGGGAGATAGTCTCAATATATGTGAAGGCAATGCATTAATATATTCATTCTACAAATGCTTTCAAGTACATGTAAATAAATTAAAAAAACACAACAGTCCAGACCAAGAGAAAAATGAGCATTAGAGAAATAAGTGGTGGCATTTGTGGTAGGAGCAATGTTCTCTTCCAATAATCAAAGAACTACAAATAAAAATAGATGCATTCTGTGTTTATCAGGTTGGCATGGTGATAGTAAATTGGGTGCAGTATGGTGCTGGACATTCTTGTACACCAGGAGAGGGGATGGGCAGTATTAACACTGCTCACAGTCTAAACGACAGCCTGTCTTTCTGAATGCAATGATTTTTTTCAAGCAAATAATTTTCTCTGAACTTTTTGTTTTGAAATAGTCATACATTTTCAGAAATTTGCAGGTATATTTTGTCATCTCTGAGACTATCCAGGGCTGAAGAAGTGTCAGGGAAACGAGGTGAAAGTTCTTCTAAGAATAAAGGTGCCTTGCCTTGTAAGCAGCATACAAGCTTCATCCACTCAGTAATAGTTTCCAACAAGTCATTAATTAGTCTTGGTTAAAATTTTAGAATGGAGTGGGCACTGTGGTGCGGCAGGCTGAACTGCTGCCTTCCATTCTGCTATCCTATATGGGCACCAGATGGAGTCCTGGCTATTCTACTTCCAATCCAGCTTCCTGCTGGTGGACCAGGAAAGCAGATGGCCCAAGTGCCTGGGCCACTGCACCCATGAGGGAGGCCCGGGAGTAGCTCCTGGAGCTTGGCTTTTGGCTTCAGCCTGGCCCAGCTTGACTGTTGTAGTCATTTGGGGAGTGAATCTGCAGATGGACAATCTCTCCTTTTCTCTATAATTTTTTCAACTAAATAAGTATCTTTTGAAAAAGTTAGTGGGGGGTGAGGAATGCAAAGCTGGAGCCTTAGAATTTCTGCTTTATATGGATAACATATTTGTGTAAAATTTCCACACGCACACACACACACCCACCCTCTCCACTCCCTTCCCCCAGCTATCCCTACTAGGTGTGGTAGCCTAGTGGCTAAAATCTATGCCTTGCATGCACCGGGAACCCATATGGGCACCATTTCTAATCCTGGCAGATCCACTTCCCATCCAGCTCCCTGCTTGTGACCTGGGAAAGCAACAGAGGATGGCCCAAAGCCTTGGGGCCCTGTACCTTTATGGGAGATCTGGAATAAGTTCCTGGCTCCTGGTTTCTGGATTCTGATCAGCTTAGTTCTGGCCATTGTGGGCACTTGGAGAGTGAGCCAGCAGAGGGAAGATCTTTCAGTCTCTCCTGCTGTCTATATATCTGCCTTTTCAACAACAAAAAAATAAATATTTACAATTCATCTTCCCTGAGGCTGGTCAAGTCTTATTTTTTGGACCTTAGGTGCTAATGTCTGAGTAATCATGCACCTACATTCATAATCATTTGCCCTTGCAGGGCACCTCCCTTCTTTTATATTTAATCTCCATTGATTTCCAAACTGCCTTCCATCTTCCGCTTACCATACAGGTGTATTTAAATGGTTTAAAGTGCATTTTGTTTATATTCTTAACAAATTTGTACATTTCTCATCAAACTACCAGCTCCTAGAAGTTTAGCAAGTTAACTACTCACATGTTCCCCCTATTTGTACTTCAATTTCAAAGGGTTGGATTAATCTCTTAAATTTATGGTACTTTGTCATCATAAGGCTGTGCAAGGCTTCTCAATACATTATTAAGGGTTTTTTTTTTTTTTTTTTTTTTTTTTGTCTCCAATGCATCCTACTTTCCTACATCTCAAAGAAGTGGCAGGAAAGCTTACACAGATAAGAAAGTTGGCCTTATGTTGCAGCTAAGCATCTCACAGAAATAACATGTAGGAGGCTTGGGCAGCAAAATGATAACCACAAGAGCAAACACTGGTGTCACTACATTGAACCACAATGAATCAACAAAGAAAGGGATGCTGATAAGGACTTGGCTTAGTCAATAAGCTTGCTCTTGTTCTCGTGTATCCCTCTTTTCTTTTCCTCCCCCTCCCCCGGGAGGATTTGTGCAGCCAGCTCAGCTTTGCCAGTTCCTTTCCATCCAGCCCCCTCCGCCAGCTCTGCCTTTTCCAGATTCCCACACAAAGCTGCCTTCAACTCCTTCCACACTGGAGTCGGCTGGCTGATGGAAGCTGGGCATTCACCAGCACTCTTGGAAAATGCAAGTTGTGTGTTCTAGATTTCTGATCTCTTCTCAGAGGCCTCTAATCTGGGGAAAGAGCCCTGATCCAAGACAGCTGATCCAGCCACAAATCCCCTCAAAGCTCCTTTTGGCCTCTGGCTTTCCTGCTTCCCGCTCCTCCCCATGCAAGACTGGCTCTTCTACCTCCCCAGACTTCTCAGTTCCAAGAATCGCAGAGATGAAAATATCAAGCCTCAAAAGCAGTTCCTGACCCTTGCCCAAGCCATATGCCCTTGGGCAAGCTGTTCTGTTATTCGTAAAATTGGTAGAATGTCACAAACACCAACAGACTGATGGCTTTTTTTTTCCCCCAAAACAATTATTTATGTGAACTACCAGCATTAGACCTGACCCAAAGTCAACAATCCTTGTTAATCTAACAGATACAGAAACTGACACTCAAGTGGAGAAGCTAATTTAGTCAAAAAACACGTATTTGTGACAATAAACTTATGACTGCCGTTGCCCTGCTGCTATCAATTCTTAAATTTCCACGTTTATCTTTGCTTATCACACGAGCACTAACTTCTAAATTGCAAGAAAAACCTTCAATATAAACTCTAACTTGATGGTCACATAAAAGCCTATCTGTTCAGGTCTTTGTGTTTTAAGAACTCGTCTTGGGAGCTTAGGGTCAGAAAGAGGCTACAGAGAGGACACTGCATGTCACACCCCCCAAGCTGTAGCCCAGTTCTTGCCTCTCTTCAGGGTCATATGTCCAAAAAGGAGGAAATCATCTTCTTGCCTTCTCTCCTCTAGGCTCTCCCTCTTTGCTGCCTTTTTTTTTTTTTAACCACTGCTCTGTCGTCACTGAAAACCTGACATGCCTATCTGATGGTATCTGGCAGTTATCCTGGCAACTTCATTACAGTCTCAAATCCAGAATCTCCACATGGCATTCAAGGCTGTTCACCTCCTTGCTAGTCTTCTCTCCCAGCAGCTCCTCCCACGAATCTCTCAGATGAGCTGCAGCTCTTGCTTTCTTCCAAGTGCGACTGTTCAGGTTAGACTGTTTGATCTTGAAGTCAATTGTCACAAGAACTTCTTGTGATTGCTGGCTCACTGTAGATTGTATAGTATTATCAGAGAGAAATTTCAAGATGTCCTAAATTTAATTATGTGTCATCTATTCCTAATTGAGGTCTCTAGCATTTTCTATAACAAGTCTCTTTTCACATCAACAATTTCAGTTCGCCTTCACAACTGGCCAATTAAAAAAAGTAAAATGGGCACAAAAGTGAACATTATCAGCTCAAACTTACGATGGAAAAATTAGTTGAGGAAGGCAAAGTAAGGGCAGGCATTGTGACTCAGTCATGAAATCTCTGCTTAGAGCATTAGTTTGAGTCCAAGTTGCTTACTTGCTTGCTTTTTAAAGATTTTTTTTTACAAAGATTTATTTATTTTTATTGTAAAGTCATATATACAGAGAGGAAGATCATCTGTCCGGTGATTCACTCCCCAAGTGAGCACAACGGCCGGTGCTGTACCGATTTGAAGCCAGGAGCCAGGAGCTTCTTCCAGGTCTCCCACTTGGGTGTAGGGTCCCAAGGCTTTGGACGGTCCTTGGCAATTGAGCTGTTATTTGGGACCCCGAGTTTCTCTGCTTGCAGTCTGGCCCTGTGAATGTGCACTCTGGGAGGCAGCAGGTGACAGCTCAAGTAGTATTGGGGTCCCTGACATCCTCATGGGAGATCCAGACTGAGTTCTTCTCTCCTAGTATTAGTTTGACCCAACCCTGGTTTTTGCGAACATCGGGAAGTAAACTCACAGATGAAAGATCTCTCTTCATTTGTCTCTCCATGCTTTAAATACAAATTTAAATCAATAAAAAATGTTTTAAATAAAAGTGTGAATTAAATGTTAAGACATTTATGAAAATGTCATAACAATGTAGACTTAGACTATGAACTAGAGATTTTATTTTACATCCACTTACCTCTCAACCTTCTAAACTCAATTCTCCATATGTTTAGAAATGGAGGAAAGTTTCAGAGAGATTAATAGTTGCCTTTTTGAATTTAATTCTCAGAGGGTGGGGTGGGGAGGTGGTGAGAATGATGTGTTCTCTGCTAGGCTGTGCTCTTCTGTGCTGCGCCCACCTTACTGGGCTGCGGATGGTGTGGGAGCAAGAGCATCATGTCCACAGCCAACGGCCGGATTTTGAGCAACCCACACTGTAAAACACCAGATGTCCTCCTCCCCGGAAATCCTCTATTCGGTGACTCAGGCCCTTATTGATACAGGAAACAAAGATACTCCGAATCACTAACACACAGCAAAGGATCATCTGATGTAAACCTGAGCTGGCACGGGCGGAAGCAGAGTGGTGGCGCAGGTAGCCAGGGAAAACAACGCCACGCCTCTTTAGCAGGCCAAGTTCTTTCTGACAGTTTTCTGGTTATCATCTTAGTGTGTCACAATACGCAGGCTTATGGAATAAGCAGGGCAGAGACGATTACAGTTATTTACAAAGCAGGAAACTGAAACCCGGGGGGAGTTTTCTGGCTCCTGGTTAACTTCTCTGCGTAATAATTTTCCACTGTGTGGCTTGGCATCTCTCCTCTGTGCTACTCCTGAATTAACAAATTCTTCTCCTGGGGGGCAGATTTTGGAGCAAAATGTCTGACACACACAATCCCCCACAGGTGGACCTCATCATGTAAAAGCACTGTTGGCTTGGTTGAATAATGAACCTAAGGGGAAATAGTCATCCTGGGCAACCACTCCAAAATCAGGCTTTGATTCAGTGCTGCTGCGTTCCTGCTCTGATGCTTAGCCAGCACCGAGCAACTGCCAGTCATGTGGAGTGGGGCAGGGCAGTACCTCAGGCTCCAAAAAGGGAGTCTCCACAGTCACCTGCCAGAACAGGTGACGGGAGGGGAGGAGGGAGAGGAGAGGGATGAAAGAGGAGGGTGAGAGGGTGTGCATGGAAGAGGGGCAGAGAAGGAGAGGGTTGGAACGCACCCTGCTCTGCCATTGGCCACGCAACTGCAAACCGGCCTCTGCCAAGGGTTCTAAAAGGCTGAAACCTCTGGGGACCTAAGAGTTGCCTAAACTTGCAGGAACCATGACTCCACAGCTCTGGGCTGCCTGGCTTTTGTCCCTGCTCCTGGTCAGCTTTGCTCAGGAGGAGCCAGAAAAGGTGAGTGTCCCACAGGGGATATTGGATAATGTCAGTGTGCTGTGACGACCCTGCTCATCACAAAGGCCAGAAGTTCTCTCCTCTCCTCTCCTCCGAGACCAGAGCCGTGCTTCCAGTCTTTGCAACTTTCTGCCAACACTGTGGGGAGGGGCAGGGGGAAGGAAACCCTTGGTGCATTCCCTTTTCCATTTCCTCTTTTTTTTTTTTTTTAAAGATTTATTTATTATAATTTTTTAAATTACAAAGTCAGATAGGAGGAGAGACAGAGAGGAAGATCTTCCGTCCAAGTCCAATGATTCACTTCCCAAGTGACCGCCACGGTCGGTGCTGCGCTGATCCGGACACCGATGCTGGGTCCCAAAGCTTTGGGCTGTCCTCGACTGCTTTCCCAGGCCACAGGCACAAGCAGGGAGCTGAATGGGAAGTGGAGCCGCTGGGCGTTCAAGACAGGACTTTAACTGCTAGGCCATGCCACCGGGCCCTCCATTTCCTCTTGAAAGCTCTGGCGCCAGTCTGATCCACTCTTGTCGGTAACTTGGGACAGGAAATGAGGTAGTCATTGGGCAACAGATGGCATTTGTGGGAAGCTGAGCTGGTTGCGGGGAGGAGCTGTTTAATGTGCTTTAGGAGACTCGGTCAGGGAAATGGAAGTCTTCCCCAGGAATAATAAAGCACTACACCAGCAATAGTGTTTCCCAGTATTAATTCGTGGGAATGCAGCAGGAAGTTTGTTCGCAGATGTTAATGTTGCTTCAAATCTCCTGACACTTGATATTGTGCAGAAAATTTCCACACTGTCGCAAGTCGTCAACCTGGTAAGAAATGTGGGTGCAATGTGGGAAGGTTAGGAGTGAGGGGATGACTAGAGGGAAAAAAGACATTCAAGGGGCCAGCGTGTGGTTCAAGTCCTGGCTGTTCCACTAGCAATTCAACTCCCTGCTAATGTACCTGGGGCTCACCCACATGGGAAACTCAAATGAAGCTCCTGGCATTGGCCTTAGCCATTGTGACTATTTGGAAACAAACTAGTAGAAAATCTCTCTTTCTCTCTCTCCCTCCCACCCTTACCCCCCCCCCCCCAGTTTCTCCTTAACTGGTATATCAATTGGATAGAAGATATCTCTCCCTGTCTCTGTAATAAAATAAATAAAATTTTAAAAAGAAAGACAAAGGCATTCAATAACTCAGTCTCTTTTAGGGCCTTTTACAATTTTTATAGTTTTGATATGACTCCTTTCTCTAAAATGTGGTGAACAATACCTCATTATATGCGAGAACTTTGAAAAGTTCATGGAAAAGGAAATGAAAACATGATCCCAATATTTTAGAGTATAAGCATGTTTTTCATAAGTCACTCTGCATGAGTTTCTTGAGGACCCTTCCTGTGCAGTGTGGAGATTCCCAGCCCTGAGCCCACAGAAGCATCACCTGGGAAGCTGCCAGGAAGTATGAGGAGTTCTTTAGGTCTAAGGGGGAACCCAGGAATTTGCATTTCTAAAGTGCCCCCCCCAAGAGATGTTGATACAGGCCCCCAAACCTTAGCTTGAAGCTTTTGTAGGGACAACTGTGGAAGAGGGGTTGGTCAAGGTGGAGGAGCATCAACAAAACTGCTAGGGTGGCCTTCCACTCCTCCCATTACAGGTATAGAGCTTTACTGAAAATATCCCCAATTTCCAGAATTAGCTGACTGCAAAGTTCACTAAGACCTATATATAACTTTCTATTTCACTAAAGCCCTACTCCCACCCTACTTGCCAGTCAGGTGCCTCTGTCACCCCCAAACACCACTCTAACGGTGTGACTCCAGTGGCCCAATGCCTCCCTTGGATTGGTGGACCTCACCCGGAAGTGTGGCTAACAAATACTCTTTGCTTGTTAGCCAACTCTCTTCTTTTCCTGGGTCGACCATATTCAATACTCCAACCATACAACTTTAACTTTTGTTATTGGGTGCACAGCAAATGTAAGGAGTTGTATACAAAATGCTGAAAGAATGGAAGCTGAGTTAAAATGATAGCTCACTTGCTTTCAACCAAGATGACTACTTACTTGAAAGGGAAACCTCTGTGGGGAATCCAGGTCTTTGTAAGCTACTGCTGCCTGATTGAGTGTGAAGTCCCTTCTGTGGAAAATCATCCTAAGCATGCGAAGCTGTGCTCTATGTCATCCTTCCTTTTTCTGATAGACCTAAATCAACTGAAACAAAACTGGAAGCTAGACAGGAAGGACTGAGCTCTAGCTAGCCTGCAACTTTCAAAGATTCTACTTCACAGTGCACAGGGTGATATTAATGCTGGAAACAAGCTTTGGAAGTTGTTGAGTCCGAGCTAAAGTAGTGCAAAGACCAGGAGAATGGCTGCACACAAAAAAACCAGCTCACAGGATGATTTCCATGTGACTTTTCTTTTTAAAAGATTTATTTATTTTTATTGGAAAGGCAGATAAGATTTATAAAGAGCATAAGAGACAGACGGAAAGATGTTCTGTCTGCTGGTTCACTCCTCAAATAGCCACACTGCCAATTTGAAGCAAGAAGCCAGGAGCTAGGAACCAGGAGCCAGGACATTCTTCCAGGTATCTATGTGGGCACATGGTCCCAAGGCTTCAGGCCATCCTCTACTGCTTTCCCAGCCCCATGTAGAATGCTGGATGTGAGGTGGAATATCCAGGACTAGAAACGAACTCTGATATGGAATGTTGGAATCCCACATAATAGTTTAACCCACTGTGCCACAACACCAACCTCATATTCTATGAAAATAGTTGGGATATTGTATTGTTTAGGAATAATGGTAACAAAGAGTCATCTCTCTATGTTCAGTACATATATAACTTTTTCTGAATATTTTTGACTTACCATTGGTTGAGTTCATAGATATAGAACCCAAAGATAGGACAACCTAATGGTAGGCACAAATGTTAGGATGCATAGGCCTATCCAAGTTCAAACTTCCTTCTCTGCAAAGACAATGAAGTAGAGGCTATTGTTTTCAGTGTTCTGACAAGAAAACTCACTGATTTCATGTAGACTCATCCATAGCCAATTTCCCCTCCGTGTGGCAGACCTTAAAGGCTGAGATGTCTTGATACTCAACTTACAAATGCTATGGCTTTTCTCCATGTAGTTAAGAACCTGATCTGTCATGAGAGATAACATCTTGCCTCTTATTCCAAGTTTTGTCCACTCTTTAATTTTTCTCTTGACATGCTTTGGGTAGAAAAGTTTTCCTCTGTGCTTTGTACTGTATAATCCCTAATCCTTAGGCAGTCCAGGGTGGTTCTCAACAATGTCATGCTGAGAAGTGGGTACTGAGGATGAGTTCATGGGTGCTGGCGAGTCCACCATTGACAAAGCCTGGAAAGGCCCTTTAGTGGGTTCCAAATGCAGAGCCAATTATAAAATTGTAGATCCTGATTTTCGGGGAGCAGTGATTGGAATATCAAAGCACACAAATGAGCAATTCATGTAAAGTTTATGTAAGGAGAAATTCTGTCAACATCTGTTAAGAATACTTGAGAAGGATCATATGTCTATATTGGAGAATAAGGATGTGGGAGAAAAGTACAAGATAGAGAATAGGGGTAGATGATGGTAATACTCCAGAGGACAGAGCACTCTGAAGTACTTGCCTTGTTGTACATACAACAATGGACTTTAAAGGGTAAGTTATTCTAGTGTGACATCAGGCCTTGTGAGTATTTTTAGTTTACAAAAGTCCCTTTCAGTTCTTGGAATTTTAAGATATTACGTGAATGCTTTGAAAAACTCACAGATGTTGGGAAATATTCTTTAGCTTTTTCATGTCATTACATTTCAGGTGAATTGCAACCAAGGTGTGTCAGGCACCGTCTATGATTACAAAGCCAAAACCCTTGATGGAGAAGATATCCAGTTCTCCAAGTACTCCGGCAAGAACATACTCTTTGTCAATGTGGCCACCTACTGCGACTATACAGCTCAGTATCCTGGTAAGAACTCAGGTTTGAACTTTCTTGAAACTGGCTTTGTTAGACAGCCAGAGTCTAACTCCAGAAGATTTTGCTAATGTGTTGTTGGGACGTTGGGATAAGGGACCACGTGACAATTAAATCTGGCTATTGGCTGCAGTTTTGGGAACTAACACTTTCCGAAGTCCGATAGCAGCACATCTGTAATTACAAGTTGAATAAATTGTTCAGTACCTGAGGGAAAAGAGATACGGTAGGGAACCATGAAATTTATTAGTAAGAAGGTGTTAGGAAACCTGGGTTTGTGCTAAATGATTTGGGAGCTGTTTCAAGGAACAGAATCTTCTCTCTGGCTTGGATGCCTTCAGGAAATGAAGATGAGGCCACCAATGCAGTGCAGTGACTTAAACCACCAGCCATTGTGCCAGAATCCTATATGGCGCTGATTAGAGTCCCAGCTTCTCTATTTATTATCCAACTGTCCACTAATGTGCCTAGGAAAAGCAGTGGAGGATGGTCCAAATGCTTTCGACCTGCCACACGTGTGGGGGAACTTAAAGAAACATCCTGGCATTGGCATGGCTCAGTCTTGGGTATTGTGGCCATTTGAACAATGAACCAGTATGTTGATGGTCTTTGTCTTTACCTCTTGTAATTCTGCCTTTCAAAAGTAAGTAGATAAATATCTTAATAAAAAGAAGAAATAAATGAAGAAATGGGGGCAATTGCGTGATTAGATATCTTAATATACATACCTAGAAAATGAGAGGAACAAAGTAACTGAAGAAATGCAATCACTCACATTGTCAAGATTGGAGCAAAGTTTAACCAATTTTTGTGATTTGTTTTTGGTGATTTACACAAATTTCATATTTTGTCTCCATGTGGCTATAAATCTGAGATAGAATTATTTTTGTCCTGATCTATCATGGTCACTTGTTTTGTGACATTGATGAGCTACAAAACTGTTTCTTACATTTTAAATTTTATTTTTAATTTGTTTACATAGTTAAGAGGAATGCATTCCCATGCGGTCCTTCAGTTAGGATGGGGAAGGTTGAGGTATGGAGGAAGGTGGGCGGGACAGATGTTTCAGTTCTTTTCATTTTATTCTGATCTGCTGGGGTGGAAGACCACTCCTTGCTGTCAAACTACATCAGCATCCAGAGGGTGGGAGGGACAGTCATTTGATGATGCCTTAGAGTTCTCTAGTTTAGCCTGACTCAGTCCATCACCACCCCAAGCTCTCATGCAAACCACTGGGTGCTGCAGTCCCACAAAGGTGAACCCACAAGTCCCCTGTAGAATCTGTTCCCGGATGTGGTTCTCTCTCATTTTTGGTGGGTGCTATGGCTCAGGCTGATGTGTTCCACCCTCTCCTCTGACATTCATGGGTGATTACTGTGGTATAGCTTTGCCAGGCATGCTCCAAGCTCCAGCTCCTGTGTGTACCAGCCAGAAACTAGTGAGGCTACTTAGCCCAGCCTTGGTCTCCCACATGAACAGGTGCCTTGGCCTGACTCAGACATATCCTCCAGTTTCCCCCTCTAACCCACCCCATCTCAGCTCCCTTGATTACCTGCAAATGCAGTGTCCTCATTTGTGGAAGACCCCAGAAGTCATTCCTTCCTTGTAAAATATGCCTGCAGCAGCTCCCACTCCAACAAGTCAGCAGATCAACTTTACCAAGCAATCTGAAACTCTTAAGGTCTGGATTGATGTGTCCCTACCCAGCATTTCCAACTTCCTCATACATCTTTTTTTTAAAAATAATAAATTCATTTTGTTTTTGATGATGCTTACATAGTTAAGAGGGATGCATGCCCATGTGGACCACCAGTTAGGGTGGGGAGTGTTGAGGAATGGGGAAAAGTGGATAAAGTAACTGTATCCAGTCTCCTTTTTTCTTCTGGTATCTGGGGAAAGTGGAGAGAGAAGGGGAGAGGGCTGCTTCCAGCAACCTAACTGAATTAGTATCCTGGGAATGAAGAAAGACTACCTGATGTCATCCTGGGGTCCCCAATATGAAGCATATTTCAAGGATAACGATTCTGATGATTCTCGGATACTGTTGATTTCATTGCTCCAAGATTGAGAAAAATCCTCCCAAGGCCAACCAACTGACATAGTCTTCCTTAGAGTCTTGTCTGGGATAGCTGTTTAGTTCTAGATGTCTCCCATGAGCATGTGACCATATTGCACAGGCCTCAGCAGGCCCGGTGACCCAGTTCTGACACATGCACTCCATGATCAGACCACATAGCCTGTGATTTTCACTGCATTTGGAGTTCTGAGTCCAGTGATCCAGTTGGGGGTGTCCCCAAGAAACCTCGTGAAAGGTGACCCAAACCTGACTTCTGTGTGTGCCAGCAATATGGAGTCTGGCTCAGTCCATCACCCATATCAGCCTACACACACTGGTGGCTGCAGTCACCTGGTCAGTTCTGTCCCTAGCCCCATCTCATATGCAAAACAATGGATGCTGTGGTCCAGCTTAACTCTACCAACCACACACTCAAGACTCACATACACCAGCGCAAACGGCAGCAAAATTAGAGTAACCACCAATCACCCCACTAGGCCTGTTTCCTGCCCTGGTACCTGTGCATGCCAGTATATTCAGAAGACTAGGGTAGCCTATCCCACTTCCCATTCAGCTTTTGCATATGTCAATGGGCGTTGGAGCTTAACTCAACTAACCCCGCTATCCAGCCTATACTCATGCTGGCACATGCTACTGCATATCTCGCCAGGTCTGCCCTATCTCCGCTTCTCACGCAGCCCATCAGAGAGGTGCCACAGTCTCCCTACAGGGCCCACTCCCTGCTCTGGATCTTGCACTTTCCAGGTGGTTCTATGGTCTAGTCTGACAGGACTTGCCCCCAGTTCCAGCACTTGCCAGCTGATGCTTCAGCAAGCTCAACCAAACTGTACTTATTATGGCTCAAGTATGCACCAGTTTGGGAGCATACTTTGGCATGTGGCCAGCTCACATGCAGGCCAACAGGTGTTGTAGCCCTGCCCAGCATGATCTGTTCCCAGTCCTAGCCATCCTGGCTCCCACACATGCCAGTGTGTTATGGTTGGCCTGTAACCTGGACCAGCACCCTGCAGAGCTAAACCACACTTGCTGACAAGTGAAGCAACCCTACCCAGCCTGACCAACACCCAACCCTGACTCATATGCTCACTAGCAGGAGCTATGGCCCACAAGGGGCATTATCCAAGTTCCCCACACAGGCCCACTCCCAGACCCACATCTCACATGTGCCAACATGTGCTATTCCCTTACCTGGCAGTCTAGCAAGTCAGTCTGCACTGTCTTATTTTGTTGTTGTTATTTTTAAATAAGAGCCCTCTTTGCACTGGAAAGTGAAGTCACTGGTGGAAAACAATGCACAAGGTGAATCAGCAGCCACTTGGATGAGTTTTTGGAAACCTGTGTTTTAAAATACTATTCTGTCTTCTCAACTTCTGTAATCATGAACCATTCCCTTCCATGTCCTTAGTTCATTCATGTGATAAATGGATAAGTCCAGTGTTAATCCTTGCTTGTGCTAGGGCTTCTGACTAGCCTACTCCTGCTGTGTATTCTCTACCCACAGAACTCAACAGTCTCCAGGAGGAACTGAAAAATGACATCACTGTGTTGGGTTTTCCTTGCAACCAGTTTGGGAAACAAGAACCAGGAAGGAACTCAGAAATTCTTTCTGGAATCCAGTGAGTACCCTTCATAAGAACTCATCAAAGGTCTCTTAAATATTTTGCTTCATTTGCGTCTTCTAATTCTGTAAACTTTGAGAATGAACAGTAGATTAATGGGTCAAAGAATATCACCATATTGCTTCAAATTCAATCTAGCTTTATTGGTAGTGCTCAGATAATCTCAAAAATACTGTTTTCCCATTTTCTTAAACTAAAGACTTACTCTGTCTACACCCCCCACTTTAGTTCAGATTTCCTTTTATTGTGAGTTGGGAGTGGTTATTACCAACCATCCCTTTCTTAACTTGGATCTTCTTGGGACTTTCTGGTGCATTGCAGGTACGTGCGCCCAGGTGGTGGCTTTGTCCCCAACTTCCAGCTCTTTGAGAAAGGGGATGTGAATGGAAAAAATGAACAGCAAGTCTTTACCTTTCTCAAGGTGAGTAAACATCAGCCAGGCCTGGATTAGTCAAGAAGGCGTTTGCTGAATAGAATGAAGCTCATGTCTAGGATTGGATTTGGATTCTTTGGAAACAGACGTTCAGGTAAGTTCAAGGATTATGGCAATATCTGCTGAGAGGGCATTATCCATGATAGCTCCGTTGTTGACTAACCTCCTTTTTTGAATCATAAAGATTCATTTACCAATCAGTTTTCAGATTCCTAGTTCATGCAATGAACTGTGCTATAGAATGATTGGGAAGACATTAATAGGGCATATTCTCTTCCCCGAGACAAGCACAGAAATGGATAAGGCAGAGTATCGTATAATAAGGATCTTTAGAGTCACAAAATGTTAGAACCACAGGCTATCATGATGGAAGCATCCCAAATACTTGTCTACAAATAAGGTTGATCCCTGTTGAAATTTTCACCCATCAACACCAAACAGAAAAAAAAAATGACAATGAGAGGAGCTTTTCATAAAACTGATCTTATTATACATAAAGATTATCTTTTATTCTGATATTAAATTATGATGAATTACATCTTGTAAACAGATCTATTTCTCAAAAACAGTGATATCATAAGTTGTATGTGGCTCAAACTATTACTTTAATAATTCTTAAATTTGGAATCTGTGATTGTAATAGATTTTATTTTTCTTATTGTAAAACGAATGCTAGTTATTCTACAGTGGTCTCCAGAAAAACAAATGATTATTTTACTGGCCTATGAAGATCCAAACTCTGAAAACCACAGCCTTCAATCAACTAATTGGTTTTCATCTAAGGAAATAGAAACTGTGGAAATAATACAATTTTCCATGGAAACAGAAGACATTATTTTACTGGTGCACAAGGATAAAAACATAAGAAAAGAGGGGAGAGAGGGGAAAGAAGGACTGCTTTCTATTTAATGTTATTCTCTGACCTTGGGATGTTTGGATGGTAGTTGAATTAGAGATGATGGGTTGAAGTGACTGGGATTGACTGGAAGTATGATAGTCCATATGTTAAAATAGATGATGTTGAATAGCTTCTTTAGGGACAGGGATAAATTTATATGTCCATTTTTCACATTTCTGCTCCAGAACTCTTGCCCTCCAACATCTGAACTCTTGGGCTCACCGGACTATCTCTTCTGGGATCCCATGAAGGTCCATGACATTCGTTGGAACTTTGAGAAGTTCTTTGTGAATACTAGTGGAACCCCTGTCATGCGCTGGTCCCATAAGATTCCAGTCAACAAGGTCAAAGAAGACATCAAAAGCTATCTTGGGTAGTCCAGTGCCCGGTAGGAAGGGCAGAAGGAGCCGCCCTGCCTTACACTCACAACACTACCTAACAAAAGATCCTTTATTCCACACTCTTTTCTATTCAGGTTTCCATATGACCAAGTGATCCCACACTACTCCAGCAGCTGCTGTGCATGTGTGGAGCTGTGAGTGGGTGTTTGTGTTTGTATATGTATGTTTTATAGACATGTGTTTAAAGGTGAAGGAAAAGAGAACTTTGACTATCTGGTACTGAAATTTCAAATTTCCTCTTCAATTGATCCTGAAGGAAAATAGTATTGTACGGCAGATGTTTCAAACTGTTCATAGCCCTAAAAAAAATCAATCCCTAGAAGTCCCTGGAATCCATGTTTTTCCATCCTGATGATTTAAAGAAAGCAAGGTAAAACAGGATATTTTAGGATATTCTGGTATTGCTTAAACTCTTTCTCTTCTACTTCTTTATTCTTTATACATCTGTAGTTTTGAAATAGGACTTTGAGGGCAAAGCAAGAGCAGAAACCTAATCTCTATGAAAGGAGAGCCATCTCCAGGATGGACTTGGGTTTCAAAGACCCTTTGGGTTGGACCTACCAAAGCCTTAATGGGGTCAGGTGAATGGCACATGGGCCGGGATGTCCATTGATTCTAAATGATGGGTTTTAGCCTCAATCTGAGACTCCCTCAGTCTTAACCTTGTTCTCCCTGTCTCAAATAAACACAAATTCTGCAGCAACCTGGCTCCATGTGGTGTTTTCCCAAGCCCATATCATGTCTTTACTTAAATCCCTTCATCTCTCACTTTGTCTATGTTTTTTTGGTACTCTGTGCTAGAACATCAGTATTTTCTTCAGAGCTGCTGTAGTTGTGAACACAGGTCTCTTGGGATTGAACCCCTCCCATCCAAGTCTTCTGGCTGACCCTGACATGAGAGAAAGCCTCTCTTTACAAGGAATCTTCTCTTCTCAATACATTTTTGTTTCTAAAAAGAATGCATGTCACTGTTAAAATATAAAAACAGAAGCAGCAGAAAACATTAAGGATAGGGAAACAAAAATCATTCCTACTGTCAGATCTATAAAGGACCTGCTGGGAAGCCCTGTTTGCCCTGTGTTGTTTCATAATTTAAAATGTAATCTTTTTTAGATGGATGCATTCTTCAGGAAATCAGAAAGGAAGAAAATAGGATTAGATAAGGAAATGAAATAAAATTATTTTTCCCTCATTTTCATAATCATTTTGAATGCATTTTTATTGATTTAAAGTTGATGATGTTGGGGGAGTCAGGAATGGAAGATCTTCCATCCTCAATCCTGTTCCCCAAATGCCTGAATAGCTAGTACTGGGCCAGGATGAAGCCATGAGCCAGGCAGTCCATGCTGGGCTCCCTGGATGGTAGGGACCCAAGCATCTGAGCCATCAACTGCCACCCTCTCAGGCATGTCAGCAGGAAGCTGAAACAGAAAGGGAGAAATCAAAAAGACAGAAGGCAACAAATGCTAGCAAACACGTGGAGAGAGGACTCTTACACAAGGTGGTGGGGATGCAAACCAGTTACAGCTGTTGTGGAAATAGCAGGGAGATTTCTTTAAAAACTAGAAACAGCTTAGTGAAATAAGCCAAACCCCAAAAGACAAATATCCTACATTTTCTCTGCTATAAGGCCATCTTCACGCAAAATACGAGTCTATAGATGCATAGGTAAGCATGTATATACATACATTTATCAAGAATGGAGGCAAGTATACTGTGGAGATGCATCACAGTATGCATCTCTACTTCTGAATAAAAAACTCCCAATAAATTTGTTAAATATATCTTTTCCATAGGATGCTGGAATGTATAACATTGTTTATACCTACAATGTCAGGATACACTTAAATAGAAGAATGATGGACTATTGTTGAGGGGCTGTACTGTTGTTATAACGTAAAGAAAAACAGTGTGTGGACAGGATGGAAGGGGAAATCCTTGAGCTTAAGGAACTGTATCTTGATAAATTAAAAATTAAAAAAAAACCCATAAAAGTAGAAACAGGCTTGTCATATGATCCAGCAACTCCATTGCTGAGTACTTTGTGAACCAAAGAGGTTTATTTAGCGTTCAGTTCGTAAGCTGCAGGGCACTAGCGTCTGCCCACCTGCTAAGGGCTTCCGCAGCCTCCCTGCACCTGCACCTGCACCCCTCGGACCCCTCAGCGTCCCAGAGCCCTTTCCCCTGCCGTCCTCCCAGGGTCTTCGCTCTCCCTGTGCGCTGGGCTCCCTGCAGGTGCGCGGCAAAAACGCCAGCGGAGACAATCCAAGGGGGAGTCACGACAGAGGGACGAGGACCACGTAATAGTACCCCTTTGTGTGATTGAAGTTTCAGATATGCCTGAGTGACATAAACCAAGCCCACGAGGACCAGACAAAAGGTGGAAGGAAATCGGGTTGTGCAGATTCAGGCTTTTCTCGCTGGCGGATGTTTTATTGTCCCTTACGTTCCTGCGGGAGGAAGCTGACCAGGCAGTGGCCAACCCCGCGCCCCTGGAGAGCCGCTGCAGGTGGAGCAGAGCTTTGCGGTCCTTTTGGAAGCGGCTTTCGAGAAGCAACACCAGTAGACGCGGATCGCCCCGCCCTCCCGGGCAATTGCAGGCATCCCTAAGCGGGTCATGGGCCAACAACTGTGGCATAGAGGTCCTTGAAGACTCCAAGATACGCACACACGCACACATCAAGAACTTCAAACAGTTGGTGGAAGACGGGGTGCATTTTCCACGAACTTCGTGAAGTTCTCTCTCTCTCTCTCTCTCTCTCTCTCTCTCTCTCTCCATCCAGTCTTTACCATCGCTGTAGAGCCACGGCTTTGCGTAAATTTGTGTAGCGCTCCTTTTTATGATCTTGCCACCGCCTGATGCTTTCCTCTGTGTGGTTTTAGTCTCCAACTTGCGTGGTGAAGAAGGGAATCTTTTTTGGGAGTTGGCATCTTCTCCAAAGAGCGTGTAAATGCCTCTGTTTAACAGCTGTAAAGTGAGTGGAATTCAACCGCAGGGGCTCCTTCACGTGGCTCTATGGCTTAGTTGGTTAAAGCGCCTGTCTCGTAAACAGGAGATCCTGGGTTCGAATCCCAGTAGGGCCTGGATTTGTGCGGGTTTTTTTCCCCCCAGCAAATTAGCTTTTTCTGAAAGTTCTCGTTTGTTGGCCTGCTGTCAAACTTAATGGCCTCACAGGACAACCACGTAGCTTATAAGCTATTCTGCAGCAACCTACTCAGATCCCGGAGTTTTAAAGACAGTCTTAGGATGATGACCATTCAAATGCAAAACACTTCCAGTTATCACAATCATTTTTCACTAAAGTTTTGCATAAAACTATCATAAAACAGGGCCAATATTGTGACCTCATTAGTTCAATCATCATAAAGTATTTCTGAACACCTTAAATATGTTCTGTTTACAGCACCTCCAGACTTAAGGATGTATATTTTTGACTCCAACACTATCCAATTACAAAATTCACCTCTGATGAGAAGATAAAATAATGGATGCACTGCTGGCCAGTACGGAAAACTAGGGTACTTGCAGGGGGTAGGACTACGTCGCTGTGAGTAAAGTTCAGCTTGGGGAATTCTACCAAATAAAATGATTTAACCTTGACCCTAGGGTTTCATGGCAATTGTACACTTTTTTTTTTGTTAACCTCCCACTCATTCTTCTGTTTAATAAATATAAACTCTTGGTTTTTTTCACAATTCAGGCATATTTCTGATGTGAGAAAATAAGCACTGAACACAGCTAGTAAGTCACTGCTCTAAAGGGTCTTAAATTTTCATAGGGGCATTTCTTTCTCTCCCCCCACCCCCGTCTCTCTGTCTCTCTCACACACACACAAAATACACACACACACACATACGCACGGATTATGTGCAAGAAGCAAATGTATCTGAGTCTGCTGATGTCTATGGAGAAGCATAAAGCAAGGAAAGAGTAAGGGCAGTGTGTAGGGTGGGGCCTGGGTAATCACAGGCCCCTTCCTGTCTCTTGGATGACATTAGAAGTGACTGACTTCCCACTGTTCAATGGGAAATCTTTGCAGTGTGCTTACTATTGTTATTCAAAGTACCATGGTAGCAGGATCAAGCTCCGCTAACCTGAAAACTCTCCTCTCTGCCTGAGACCTTTTGATTAGGACTTTGAGGTAGGTAACACTGCCTGTACCCAAGCCTTAGCGGCTTCACTGAGAGCTAAGGGACCTGTGGCACGTTGCTTTAGCTCAATGGGCAGCCTCTTTCTCATTTGTGAAAGGCAGTAATGATAAGCTGACCTCATACAGCAGATGGAAGAATTGATGAGTAAGCACAAGTGACACAGCCAGAACATAAAAATCAAGTTCACTTCATTATCTCTAATTTGTTGCTACACTTGTTTGGAAACTAGTATTTATTTATTTTTAAATAGTTTTTGGTTTTTTTTTAATTGTAAGGGGAGATTTACAGAAAAAAAGAAGGGATAGAAGCAGAGATAGAAAGATCTTCCATCCACTGGCTCACTCCCCAAATTACTGTAATGGTTGGAGTTGCACCGATCTGAAGCCAGGAGTCAGGAGCTTCTTCTGGGTCTCCCACACAGGTGCAAGGTCTCAAGGCTTTGGGCCATATTTGACTGCTTTATTAGGCCACAAGCAGGGAGCTTGATGGAAGTGGAGCAGCCAGAACATAAAATGGCACCCGTAGGTGAGCCCAGTGCTTACAAGGGGAAGATTATCCAATTGAGCCATCATGTCAGGCCCCAGATATTATTTTCAATTTGTGAATAAGTCCAGGCATATTTTTGGTTGAATTATGTACCTCTCAAAGATGTTGAAGACTTAATCCTCAATAACTGTTAATGCGACCTGGAATGTCATCTGAAAGCAGGCACTTTTTAAAAATTTATTTGTTTGTTTGTTTTTCTGTATCTGGAGTAAGCAGAGATAAAGGGAGAAGCCTCCCACCCATCCCAGGTCCCCAATGTGGGGCATGCTCCAAGGGTT